AACAAAATGATAATATGATGATACAGAGAGATAGAAACAAATGGCAATAGATTAAACTTGCACGATATGATATAACGTTTACAACATGACGATGATAACATAATGATAACGGAAAAAGACTAGCCATAGAAAGATGTATCGTAAAATAATGCCATCAATAAAATTGACGATTTCATCAACGAAACTTTTACACAGAACATGATCGGTATTGAAGTTCGTATGAAAATATTCGATTAATATGTTTGCGTAAGATGTCTGGGATATGGTGTGTAAAGTTGGATGAATACAAACTAAAACAAAGGATGAAAAACATGAAGACAGGTCCAACAGGTGATTTCTAAAATAACCTGATTTGTGATGTTGATATTATTCAGTATGGTAAATTTTAAAATAACCAAATTTTAAAATAACCAAATAAATGTTTCTACAAACTGACAATATAGTAAGTGAGCATAAAAAAAAAGATTTTTCTGGACATGCACACACACAACCATTTAACGTCACACACACACAACTATTTAACGTCACACACACACACACACACACACACACACACACACACACACACACACACTTCTTTTTCATCCAACAATACAATACACTAAAGAAGAGTTTTCAATAGAATCGTAAATATATGCACGCACGAACACACACAACACACCCACACACAAACACGCACACACACGCACCACAAATCCACGCCCATAATGACGCACACCTATATACATATGTATGTGAATTTAAATGGGAAAGTTACTATAACTGCACACATGCACACACTCATTCACACACACACACACACACACACACAAACAAGCACTCCTGAAAAACACCAAAAATTTTAATATTTCAATCACTTTCAAACAGTAAAAATAATTTCCTTTCAACATTACAAACTTTTAACTTGGATGAAATAATGAAATAATTAATGCAAACCAACAAAAGCACACACACGCAGACAAAAGGACAAATAATTAAACGTACGAAGAGATACTCGCATGAACATGCAGACGCAAAGAGAGGCACGCAACGTAGCAGAATGAGCGGATAGATGGAATATTAGATTGAAAGCCAATTCCATTAATGCAAAAACGCACGCACACGCACGCACACGCGCATGGATTATAGATTCCTATCAAATCCTTACAGCACAATAACTCCTGCCAATGTTACTTATCAACCGCATCAAACGCAACTTCGTTCGCCACACTCAAAATCACCGCTACTGCTACTACTACTGTTACTACTAGTAGTAGTAGTATTACTACTGCTGCTGTTACTACATATGCTACAAATACTACTGCTAATAATAATTTGTAACTCTTATTGTTACAAGTAAATTAGCCAATACTCATAATTTCACTACAAACTATGCAAATGCTACTGATGATTTTTGCCAAAACACATACATACACACGCACATACATACATACACACATACATACATACACACACGTATGACAAAAACACCCACACACGCTCGTACCTAATACACACGCACGCACACAAACACACGCGTCTGCCAAATGCACACTTGCAGTCAGTCACTAACAAACATACACACGCACGCACACGCACACACGTGCAACACAAACACAACAGCCACAACAACAGCATTGTTCATTTCAATTGTCAGGAAGTTAATTTGCCTTTTGTTGTTGATGTTGTTGTTGTTATTGATACTGTATAATAGTCAACTAACTAACCAACCAACTAACCAACCAACTAACCAACTAACTAACCAACCAACTAACCAACCAACTAACCAACCAACCAACTAACCAACCAAACAACCAACCAAACAACTTCATTAATTAGTTATATCATCAATACACTACCATTTTATCATCATCAGTAGCCCATCACCATCATCTTCATCACACGATCATCACCAGCACATTATCGTCATCATTACATCGTCATCTTCTTCATCATCATCACATACGCCACCACAAGATGAAGAAAATGTTGTCGAAAAGAAAATTTATGCCTTTCCGCTCTACTGGTCTAAACACTATCATCATCACTACCACCACCATCATCATCATAATTTACCCACATGTGCTATGATAATTATTTAGCTACATCATCATTATCATCATCAAGGTCATTTTCATCATCATCATCTTCATCATCATCCATCATATAATTATAGACCAGTACAACTCACTATTACTTTTTTCTACCAGTATCAAATAAGTTAATCATTATCATGATCGCCACCACCATCATCATCATTCCTATCATCATCATCATCATCATTGTAATCCATATCAACATCCCATCATCACTATGAACAAGCCATGATACCACCTCTTCATCACAACAGCAACATCATCATCTTCATCATTGCTACTTAATTTACTACTTGATACATAATTTACTATCCTCATCATACTTTTTGTAGTCATTATTTTAACATCAACACTAACATCATCTCGTCGTCGTTGTCCTCTTCCCCGTCCTATCCCAAGTGTATGAGGTCTTTTAATTTGTTCACCAGTTTGGGCGACGGTGTTTCATATTGGGCGGCCAAGCGCGAATACAATTTATGCACGCACACACACACACACACACACACACACACACACACACAAATATATACAAAACTTACTCACACATACACATGTGCATACAATCCCAAACGAATATCTCATCATAATAAAGTCATTTTATGTTCTTGTGTTTGCTTGCTGTTGGTTAGTTACGCTAAGATGAAAAAATGTAATACAAACACACACACACAAACAGATAGATGTGAGTATATTCAAAAAAGTATACAAAGTATAAATATACTCAAACACACATACACACAGAGACATGCATACACACACACACATACATACATACACACGCAGTCCTCTAATCACAAAAATTTTTCTTTAATCTTCTAAAAGTTAGACATACATGTATCTCCTCAGTACAGGAGCAAAAAAAGCATGTTGATGGTGGTCACAGTCGCAACCACACAGCCAGCGTTTATAATGATATTTCGCACGCGATTAAATTAATTAATATATCATAAACACTATACTACCCACATAATAAAATACACAGACTGATGAAATACGCACATAATTCAATACCGTAAATAGAATACACATATCATAGAATACGCCGATCATGAAATGGAGACCCAGTGAGAGATTTTTTTATACCAGAGTTGCACACACATAGCCTATAAATAATAATAGTAGAAACATACATTATACAAAATATATGCATCATACAAAATGTGCACATACATTATGCATACATACAAACTTTTAACAAACCAACTCATTATACAAACATTGTATGCACTATACATACAAACGTGTGTGCAAGTTCTGACGTATCTACATACATTGATGTATGTTTAAACAAACAAACAAACATACATACATACATACATACATACAAATATACAAGCAACACATCAAACAAAACAAACAAGCGAAATCTCATCGACTTTCGATCGCGGGCATCAGACGCCACCAAACCAATGGAACACAACTGAAAGACAATTGATTGCAAACATACAAATACATGCATGCATATTTTTAAACGATTACATGAATAATTAATTTATATTAATTACTTAAATAAGTAAATAAATTAAATGAATAAATTATGCAGATATCTATTAAAATACAGAAAAACAGAACCTAAAAAGCAACAAATGCAAACGTTAAAACCAAAAAGTGTTAAGACGGTTATCATTCAATTCATCAAAATATATTCTTTACACCCACACACACAAAAATATAAACACGCACGCACACACAAACACACAACTGCTAGATGGATATGTAGATTGTGAGGCGTCTTTGCTTTTCATTCCCAAATGTCACCATCTGCCTATTGTTCATCTGCGTGCGTGTGTGTGTGTGTGTTGCTTGTACGTGTGTGTGCGCGTGTGCGTGTCTATATAAATAGGTATGTATGTGTGTTCTTTGAAACAGTATTTTGGTATAGATTTTCGATGGTCAGATCTAAAAAAAAATAAGATTTTATTCATTGCGGTTTTGGTATATGTACTTATGCGTGTGTGCATGTCTTTTTATAATACATTTGACACACACACACATACACACATGTGTGTATTGTGTTTGTATAAAGTGTGAAGCTCGCTGGTGTGTGTGTGAGTGTGTGTGTGAGCGTGTGTGTGTGAGTGTGTGTGTATTTTGCTCCGTTTTTCCTGCTTTTTCTTCCCTAACGTCTGTTCACTAACTGGCATGTGTTTGTTTGATGTTTGTGTGTATTTGTTTGTATTTTTGTATAATTTTGAGTGCGTGTGTGTGTTAGTGTGTATATGTGTTTGTTTGTATGTATGTGTGTTTTTTGCAATATTTTCTGTTGTTTCTGATGGTGAAATGGATGATTTGTTATACATATGTTGTCCAGAAGTCAGTATACTCTTATTAATTTTAAATTGTTATTTGTCATCATATCTTGCCTTGTTTCTTTTAATTTATTCTTTTGTATTTCTTGTTTTCACTGTGTTAGTTTTGTTTGTGTTATTCTTTGTTTGTTTGAGCTGTCGGTCCCATTTATATTTGTTTTTTTATTTAGCAATCAATTCATTAATTCATACATACATTCATTCTTTCATTAGTTTATTCAGTAGCCCACACATTAATTCATCAGGTCATTCATTCATTCACTTCATTTACTTCAATATAATTGTGAACAGCAAACACAAACGAACACATGAACGTCACAGATCAATTAACTTTCACGTCACCAGATGTCAATGACAGTTTTTTTGACGAGTTCGTAAATTTTATTTTGTTCTCAGTTATTCGTGAGTCGTCGTCACCTCTCTCCTTTTCTCCCTCTCCCCCCCCCTCTCTCTCTCTTTCTCTCTCTCTACCGCATCCACTAAATTTACCACACAAACAACTGCAAATATATACATGTACGCATGTACCTAATAAAGGTCTAACTAATCGAAGTACAATTACATGAGTTTGTTGGTGGTGATAATAAATTAAAAAATACAAAAAAACAAAACTAACTAATTTGATTCGGTTTATTACTGTTGTTGTTATGAGCCATCTTCATCCACGGGTATATAACAGGAAGTTGTTGCTGTTGTTGTTGCTGCTGCTGTTGTTGTTGTTGCTGGAATGTTGCTGAGTTCGTCGGCGATGGAATGATGCGTTCATTTTCGTTGTTGCTCTCGCAATCGGATGACGTATGTAATAACGTCATATTGTTGTTGTTGTTGTTAATGCTGTTGTTGTTGTTGTTGTTAAAATGTTTGTTGTCGCACGTTGGATCGCCGATCGAATGTAAAGTTGCTAACATTGAAGATGTCGTCGGCGTTGTTGGAACGGATTCGTTGTTGCTGTTGTTGTTTGTGTTGTTGTTTCTCACGATGACGTTGTTGTTGTTGTTTGGTTTGTCAAAATATCTATTCGCGTAATTTTTGCCGGCAAAATTTTGATTCACTTCGTCGAAAAAACGCTGCTGCTGTGGTTGCGGTTGCTGTTGGATGAATGCCGTTTTTGTTTGCTGGAGGTCGGAGACCTCAACAAACAACTGCTTGGCGACTGGCGACTTTACGATGACGTCACATCTGTTTTGTCGAGAGTAAGACGGAGACAGATGTTGTTGTTGCTGTTGTTGATATTGTTGTAGTAGTAATTGTTGCTGTTGGTGTTCGCGGTATAATTTTTGATGTTCGTAGTGTTGGTAGTCGAGACTGATGGCATCGTTCACTTGACGATGGTGGTGGTGGTGGGGGTAGTCGGGGTGGTTGTAATATGGGGGGTAGTTTTGGGGAGGATACTGAGATATCAATGATGGGTGGATGGTGTCAAAGTGGAGATTTTGATGATGGAGACGTTGGTGATTGTGATGAGGAAGATGATTGGGAAGAGGAGGTTGATCACTTGCCTCAGCGTTCCTTTGTTGGTAGTGCTGGAAAATCTGGAAAGTGATTGAAAAGGTTAGAGAGGATTTAAAAATTTAAAAAAATCAATTATTTATAACAACGCCCTGCTACAAAAATACATTTTTCTTAACACAATACAAGCATTCTCTTGTATTTATGTAAAATTATAATTCTATATTACTCGATCTATTTCTATGTGAGCTTTTTATTTGTTTCATGCCTATTGTTATTTGCGTTCAAGTGTATCTGGTTTGACATAATTTAAGGTTTTGCGCTTGTCTGTCATTGTATTTGCCAGTATGCCTTTGTTTGTATGTGTAGATATTCGTTTATCTGTGCGTGTGTTTGAATTATATTTATGGGGATTTTATATTATAGTCTGTTTGCGTATATGCTTGGGTTTGTATGCGTTTTTACGTGTCTCTATACGTTTTGTATGCGTAAACAAGTTTTGGTATTTATAAAGACAATTGCATTAATATGTAGTGACCTGTTGCTGTTGTTGCACAAACAATCGCTGTTGCATCTTATCATCTAGTGCATTGCAATGAGGCGATACTGATTTCATCTGAGCATGTTCGCCGTAATAGTTTCCCCCAATTTGCTGCTGCTGTTGTTGTTTAAGCTGCTGGATGTAGAGTTGCAACTTTTGTTGTTGTTGATGTTGATGCAGTTGTTGCGAGTTGATGACGTCATCGTCCTCGTTGTTGTTGCTGTTGTTCTCGTTGCCGATGATTGCATCGTCATTTGGATACACTTCGCAGTCGTTTTTAATGAAAGCTGTCTTCGGTGATGTTGGAGACGGTGTTGGTTGTGATTGTTGAGCCACTGTCAACTGTTGCAGATGTTGTTGATGCTGTTGTTGCTGGTGGTGATGATGATGGTGATGCTGAAGTTGGTGATGATGATGATGGTGGTGGTGGTATTGTTGGTGAGTTAACATCATGTCATTGATGATGACAACAATAATTGTGTTGATGGTGTTGTTGTTGTTGCAGCTGTTGCTGTTGATGACGATGTTGTTGTTTCAAAATTCCGCTTTTAAAGGCCACTGTTTCTATTCGTATTAAAAAAGTTCATTTTTGCTTAGAATAAAATAATTCAGTTAATATAATATTCAGAATTAAACATTGAAATACTTGAAAAAATATGGAATGAATATTAATTATTAGATTGTTGTAAAGCAATGTAAGTGAAAAAAAATTCTGACCTTTTTGCTGCAATCCGAGGCATAAAATCAACAATTAATTAACCATCTTGGTGATTTCATCAGCAATTTAATCAATTTTCGTTACGAAAATACATTAACTAATTGTATAACAACATTATTCTATCATTTTTTAAATAAGTCCAGAAAATAGTTTACTTCAAAAAATTATTTTTTTATCAATAACTCATAGAATAAGGCAGAAATGATCTAGCCAAAGACGATGACAACAATAAATGCCTTATTGGTGAACGCGTTTGGATGAATGATTATGTTCCGTCGGTCAATCAACTATATATATATATATCATATATATATACACATACATCTTTACATATATATATATATATTGTTATGTATATATGTATATGACAATCATACAAACATTGTCCATATATCACTCATCACTCACCTAAACATACATACATATAATATATATTTATACATATATAAGATTTGTATGTATGTTTTCTATGTATCTTATTATGTGTGATGTATGTATGTTTGTTTGTTTGTATATATATATATATATTAAAATGTTATATATATATATATATATATATATATATATATATTAAAAGGTTATATATAAAAATATGTATATAAGTGTGTGTGTGTGCGTGTGTGTGTGTGTGTTTGTATATAAAGTCATCACATTTGTGTTGTTAGGTAAATTTGTTTAATAGGTTTACGATCGGCTATTGACACGTATACGATGCGACATACCTGATAAAAATGCGTGTGCTGGCACACAATATACCCTATATACACGTGTCTACCAGGGTATTTGTGTATGTGTATCTATATGTTTGTATGAACGTATGTATGTATGTATGTATGTATGTATGTATGTATGTATGTATGTATGTATGTATGTATGTATGTATGTATGTATGTATGTATGTATGTATGTATGTATGTATGTATGTATGTATGTATGTATGTATGTATGTATGTATGTATGTATGTATGTATGTATGTATGTATGTATGACAGACCTACAAACACACACACACACATCTAATTCAAATTTCAAGCCTGAAAACAAAAAAACTGAAACCTATGATGATCATATAACATCTTTATTCAAAAACTTCTTATTTGTATAAAACAATCATTAAAAAAGTAATTACATACGGGTTTTTAAAAACAAACGTCTGTGTACTTGTGTTGTGTGTGTTTGCGTGTCTGCGTTTACACCTCTGTATTTTTGTATATGTTTGCGTGTACGTGTGTGTTTGCATCTCTCTATTTGTTTCACTCTATCACTTTTTATGTATATATAGACGAGCCTGTTATTACATCGAGACATTACATCTATATTACATCTATATGTATTGTACGTATGTATGTATGTATGTAGATTGTTGAAGTTATTTATGTTTTGGTGTAGGTGTATCTGTGTATGTGAGTGTGTCTGTGTGCTTGTGTTAGTGTGTATGAAATTTAAATATAATTTCAGTTATTGTTCGTTTGAACTGCTGTAAACTCTCATCAGGTATGACTTTGTCGTCACGTCACTTTCCATGAGGTGTTTAGACAACTGTGATTGCAGGTGTTTGGCATGTTGTATAAGTAAATATAGACTCCAGCTTAGATTCCGTATCGAGACGAGACATCTATGGTATAAATAGACAGACTGCAACATCAAACAATATTACCCTGACGATGTCATAAAATAACAAGAATGAAAATTAAACGAAGTAACACGCACGCACACACACGCTCACAAACACACACACAACAATCCTAATAACAACAATCCAATAAAATCCTAATAACAACAAATCAACAAAATACAGCAAAAACGACAACTCCACATAGGAACACAACAAAAACATCTTTAATAACATTAAGTATCGTTTCGCCACTATCAACAAAACACTAACAACAACAACAACACTAACAGCAACAACATCAACAAAAACAACATCAATGACATTCCACCCGGCTATGAGATCAACAACCATCAAATCACCATCAACATTGCTCTAGCAGGTCTATTTAAATTTAAACGTCATTCGATATTTTTAGGGTAAGTGTTATACGCATACAACACACACCAAAACACATAAACAAACACACCATGCACACGCCACACACAAAAACAAACACACGCACACAAACAAACATCTTGATTCAAAATTAACGATTGAATCATTGTAGGTGTTGTATTATTTTCCATTTTATAAGATACAGATCTTTCAGACTTGTTAACCTGCAACCCAGTTTTATAACACCTTGTTCTTCAAATGAATGTGATTACCATTAGATTGTTGTACGATTGTATGTTTGTTGTTGCTTTGTTGTCTGTTGTTGTCGTGTTGTAGAGAACATTTTATATTTATAGGCATTCTTTGTTCTAGTATATGTGATAATAGTAGCAGTAGTTGTAGTAGCAGTAATTGTAGTAGCATAGTTGTAGTAGCAGTAGTTGTAGTAGCAGTAGTTGTAGTTGTAGTAGCAGTAGTTGTAATTATAGTAGCAATAGTTGTAGTAGCAGTAGTTGTAGTTGAAGTAGTTGTAGTAGCAGTAGTTGTAGTAGTAGCAGAAGTAGCAGTATTGGCAGCAACAGCAGTAGTAGTAGTTTTTGCTATTTTCTACGAGTTGACGCAAAGAAAGCCTTCGATGAAACTTTTTGTTTTTCAACTTCATTCAACTGTGTCTGCTCGTTCATCGATTTTGTGTTATTGGCGTTTTTAACGTTTTGAAATGAAGACTTCGAAACGTTTGAAACGCTCTTTGTCAGCATTAATGTATGAAACTTTGTTTATTTTTTTTTTACAACAATATAACAATATTTATAACAGAATAATGCACAATAACTGATACTATAGTTAAATGCCGGGACGTATTAGCTCCAAATGGTATGTTCAATTTTTTTGTTCTTTAGATGAGTGATTCGCTTAAACGCAATTTACAGTTACAATGACAAACTTTTAATGTTTTGTCATCATCATCATTATCGTCGTCATCATCATCATTATCGTCATCATCATCATTATCGTCATCATCATCGTTATCATCTTCACTATTATTGTGAGAATGACATAAAGTCTATGTTTTTGTTGTTAAGATGATGTCTACCGCATAACTTAGAAGCATCAT